CAAGATCTTAGTAAATATCTTCATGTCAATATTGATGAGAGAGATAGGCCTATAATTGCCCAGGAAGAGTGATCTCGGTCCAGTTTAGGGATCATAACCACATTAGCAGTTAAAGCATCCGGGGAAAAATTTGAACCTCCCTTCACCGCATTAAACATAGCGGCGAGGTGAGGAGCGATAACATCAGCCAACTTCTTATAGTATAGTGCCGTGTATCCATCAGGAGCTGGGCGCTTACCCGTTTTCAGGTCTGCTATGCATTGTAGAACCTCAGATACTTTGATATCACGGTCCCTCAAGTCCCTATGAGCCGACGTTAAGGTTGGCAGGGACAAACGAGATAAAAAAAATCAGAAATAGACTGAGGATCAGCCCGGGTAGGATCAGAATAGAGTTTAGCTAGCCGATACCTGAACTCCTCCAAAACCGCTACAGGATTGCTCGTAAGGATATTGTGGCGAGTACGTAAAGATATCGCTTTGGGATGCTGCGCAAAAGAACGCAATCTATGAGCCAACATAGAATCTGGTTTGTTTCCCTTACTATACCACTTCTGGCGGGTCCAACGTAAGGAGCGCTCAGCCTGATCCGTTAAACAAAGATCCAGTTCCAAACGAGCCTGATCCAGCTGTCTACGATTCGACGGGGAAGGTGACTGTTTAAATTGGGTCGACGCGGAGGCTAACTTCGATTCCAACTGGCGCTGTTTAAACTGTCTTTCCTTCTTTCGCCTTGAAGCTATTTGGATAATATGTCCCCTAAGGACTGCCTTGTACGCTTCCCAAACTGTTACCGAAGAAGAAACAGAACCCGCGTTTAAGTGAAAATATTCCTGAGACTTACGTTGAAGGTCCGCCTGAATCTCCTTCAGCGAAAGCAAGGAATCATTTATTATCCATGAGGAAAAGGCCGGCCTACATAGGAGAGATCGACAAACCACCAAGATTGGATCATGATCCGACCATGGGACCGTTAATATAGAAATAGAGCGAACTAATGGGAGGTGTTTACGTGAAACAAAGGCATGATCGATTCTGGAATGAGAATGGTGAGGGTGTGAATAGAAAGTGTAGTCTTTCCCCCGTGGGATGGAATTCACGCCATAAATCCACCAAATCATGGGTATCTAACGCACGTGCAAAGGATTTCGCAGACGCGGAAGGGTCAGAATGCTCTACTGGATATTTATCCAACGAAGGGTTTAGTACTAAATTTGAATCCCCTGCCATCAAGAGCGTACCCCGCTGGTGTGTAGCCAAGAGTGAACATAAGTGTGACAGGAAAGGTCCAGGGTTAACGTTAGGAGCATAGTATGACAGAATGGTAACATCTATGCCATGAATCGTGCCCTGAAGCAGAAGGTATCTGCCATTGGGATCAGCAATACGCCTCACACAGACAAACAGAGTTTTACTATGAAAGGCGACCAAAACGCCTCTCTGTTTAGTGGGGCCATTAGCCTGAAATATCTGAGGGTACCGTGCATCAAAGTATTTTGGGGCAGAAGTGGTGGAGAAGTGGGTTTCTTGTAAACATGCAATGTCAACTTGACGAGCCCGAAGAAACTTAAATATCTTTACCCGTTTCTGCGGAGAGTTCATCCCCTGAACATTCAATGATAACCAGTTCAGCAAATCAAAGACGAATTCTCCTGCGCTCTAGGGCTCAGACAGGTGGCGAACAGATGGAACCAGGCCTGGAGGGATCGTCCACCAATGCATAAAGGGCTGTGCGGCTCCAAAACAAGGCTGGGGAAGCCCAATCAACACTGCAGAATGAAATGAAAACGAGAAGCGCACCAACCTTGCGCATTACCTCAGTAACCAAAATTTATTAATTGTAAAAAATATACTCACAAACAGCGAATAAAATCAGGCATGTAAGTCCTCACAGGGACTTGAAGATAACATGAGTCCCATCAGGGGAGTGGGTGTTCAGTACAGCTGACGCGTTTCGAAGGGGGTCCCTTCTTCCTCAGAGCTATCTGAACTGTGAGTGCTCTCTCCTATATATACTCCTGGACTGAACCTAGGCCCTCCCCACTGGGTTGGGCAGTCTCAGGTTAGTAGGAGGGGCCAAGATATCGTCAACAGACAATCACTATTTGTAATGCCATCAGAGAGAAAAATGATATAGACAAACGTAAAATATAAAATATATAAAACCACATTTTGCATACACCACTTAGTATGCTGCTGACTATACAATATTACGGATCCAAGATTACTGATCCAATCCTATCCATCAGAGAATGGATTCTCCATCATCCGATCATGAAGCACATGCAGCTGCCTGGTAGCACACATCACACAGCTTCTGGTTGAAGGTTTGTGTGTGGGTTTATATGTCTACATATATATATACATGTGTTTGTGTCACTATGGACACCTATCCATTAAGACATCCATTGACTAACAATTTAAGTCTACGCGTCAGCTGTACTGAACACCCACTCCCCTGATGGGACTCATGTTATCTTCAAGTCCCTGTGAGGACTTACATGCCTGATTTTATTCGCTGTTTGTGAGTATATTTTTTACAATTAATAAATTTTGGTTACTGAGGTAATGCGCAAGGTTGGTGCGCTTCTCGTTTTCATTTCATTCTGCATAACCAGTTCAGCGACATGGTAATCTAAAGAAAGGAAGATCAAATTCACCGTGAGCCCCGGAATCCCTGAAAATAAAATTACAAAAATACAAAGCACACATAACAAAAGACAAAAAGAAAGAAACGAAAAAGAAAGAAGACCAAAAGACATCTGATATACAGGCAAGATAACTTTGAAGCATTGAGATCAGATTAAACATTATAATAGTCAACTGTGGGTAAACTACCCACACAGAGGCTAGGTAGCGGGCGGGACAAAAGAAAAACCAGACCGCTAGCCAGCTCGGAGGGGGACACGATCGTCCACCGAAACAACTCGGCAATAATATATGATATAAAAAACATTATACAATCAACTTAGGCTAATACACCTATGAATAAGCAATACGAAATTCACTGGGTTAAGGGTATCTCAACCACTCAGTGCAGAAAAAAAAAAAAAGACAAAAAAAAACTAACATCCACACTGGATTGGAGGAGACACAACGCCCAAAGGTAGGAAATCTCTGTGCAAATCTAGATTCAAATCTAGAAAGTGGCAGCAAAAATCTACATATGACAAAGCTATAAACTGGCGGCCTGCCACTAAACTTCAAGTCGCAGATACTTCCTGGAAACGCTGGGCTTGTAGGGTTCGAAGAGCCTGGGGACCACTTTGACTAGGAGGCGATTTACGTGAAGACTGGGAACCTCGAAGACGCGTAGGAATCGAAGACTCCTCACTCTGAGATTGTGGCAGTTCCAGGTTAAGCTCCCGAAAGTGTCGTCGAAGATCCGCTGGCAAAGAGGCCTGGCGTTGCTGGCCTTGGTAGGAGAAAGTGAGCTTGAAAGGAAAGCCCCATCTGTATTTGATGTCTGCAGATTGAAGAATTTGAAGATAGGGTCTCAGAGTGCGACGTTTAACAATCGTAACTGGGGACAAGTCCGCAAACAGATGCACAGAGTGACCCTGAAATTCCAGAGCCGAACGATTCCGAGCTGCCTGTAATAAACGTTCTTTGGTGCGGTAAAAGTGGAATTTAATAATAATGTCTCTGGGAGGACCCTCTGTAGGCTTGGGTGCTAGAGCTCTATGTATACGGTCAAACTCCAGACGCTCCATGGGAATCCCAGGGGCCAACTCCTGAAAGAGAGCAGTAGCAGTACCTAGTAGATCGGTGATCGCCTCGGGGATTCCGCGAATGCGGAGATTATCCCTGCGTGCTCTATTCTCAGCATCCTCTAGCTTATCTTTTAAAGTATCCAACTCGGCATGCAGATCCTCCACTTCCTGTTCATGACCCTCCAAGACCGTAGTCGCCAGATCCATACGTTGCTCCAATTGGTGGGCGCGAAGGCCTAACTCCTTTAGGCCTCTCGCCAGATCAGAAGATAGTTTACGTGAGGCAGTGGTAATCTCTTCCCGCACTATAGCACGAAATTTGTGTAGCAAGGCTTCAGGATTGTGCTCGAGGGAATCAGCCATCCCCGATGGAAATTGCCGCTGACTATCGCCATCAGACTCATGGTCACCTGGAAGCTGGGTATTATCATCAGGCTCGGGCGGGCTAGGTATCAACTTAGCGGCCTGTCCCAGCGGAGGGGAGTGCTGCTGGGCCCGATGTTTAGGCTTAGTGCGGGGGGTACAGGTGCATTGTTAAAAGTGGTCCGCAGGATTCCAAAATACCACCAGACTGTTAAAGTGATACGCTCAGTTGTAGAAGATCATTGGCCGAGAGAAATATTTCGGTGGCACGGCTCAGAGAGGTCACATTGATATTTTCCTCCTGGCACGTGTACGTGTCCCCCACCGGGGGGGGGTGTTCACAGAAGATCTTTCATAGTGCTGTAGCCAGTGGAACGTATATAATTTTAGTAGCAAGGCTGGAAATGCAGATTATGTATTGGCTGCCCAATACCCCTGTCACCACTGATTGCTCAGCACAAGGAGGGGGTCAACATAAGGAGCATCTTCCCCCATCAGGCATTACTCCTGCCACCATGCTAACCCCCAGAGATTCATCAGGTTGCTGTGGGGATATAGGATTCCCGCTGGGGCAGCCAAGAGACTCGGGGGGACCCCTTCAGCCCGTCCCAGCAGCTGAGCTGTCTCTTGTGTCAGGTAGGCAGAGCGGAAGCGCGGTGATTCAGCGGCGGCGGCGATCCTCCCCAGCCGCGGATTCAGGAAAACCGCGGCTTAAGACGCCGCGGTAGGCCGCAAATCACCCCGCGCCCCGCGTGCTCGGGGGAAGAGCAGAGTAGCCCGGCACCCCTCCTCGAGCTTTACCAAAGGTCTAGGCAGCAGGGGATCCTGAGCTTATGGCCACTATACTCAGGATGGCGGCGGATAGGGGTTCAGGATGCCGGAGCTCCGGGAAAGACGTCCGCTCCCGACGCCATCTTGGACACGCCCCCGGGACTGTCCATAATTTTTAAAGGGTGCCTTGGGACTGTCCATCATTTTAAAAGGTGTCTCTGGACCGTCCATCATTTTAAAGGGTGCCTTGGGACTGTCCATAATTTTTAAAGGGTGCCTTGGGACTGTCCATCATTTTAAAAGGTGTCTCTGGACCGTCCATCATTTTAAAGGGTGCCTCGGGACCGCCCATCATTTTAAAGGGTGCCTCGGGACTGTCCATAATTTTAAAGGGTGCCTCGGGACTGTCCATAATTTTAAATGGTGCCTTGCGACTGTCCATAATTTTAGAGGGTGCTCGGAACTGTCCATCATTTTAAAGGGTGTCTCAGGGCCATCCATCATTTTAAAGGGTGGCTTTGGACTGTCCATCATTTTAAAGGGTTTCTCGGGACTGTCCATCATTTTAAAGGGTGTCTTGGGACCGTTCATCATTTTAAAGGGTGTCTCAGAACAGTCCATCATTTTAAAGGGTGCCTTGGGACTCCATAATTTTGAAAGGGTGCCTTGGGATTGTCCATCATTTTAAAAGGTGTCTCTGGACCGTCCATCATTTTAAAGGGTGGCTATGGACTGTCCATCATTTTAAAGGGTGGCTATGGACTGTCCATCATTTTAAAGGGTTTCTCGGGACTGTTCATCATTTTAAAGGATGCCTCAGAACCGTCCATAATTTTAGAGGGTGATTCGGGACTGTCCATAATTTTAAAGGGTGCCTTGGGACTGTCCATAATTTTAAAGGGTGCCTCGGGACAATCCTTCGTTTTAAAAGGTGTTTCGGGACCGTCCATCATTTTAAAGGGTGCCTTCGGACTGTCCATCATTTTAAAAGGTGTCTCTGAACCGTCCATCATTTTAAAGGGTGCCTTGGGACTGTCCATAATTTTTAAAGGGTGCCTTGGGACTGTCCATAATTTTAAATGGTGCCTTGCGACTGTCCATAATTTTAGAGGGTGCTCGGAACTGTCCATCATTTTAAAGGGTGTCTCGGGGCCATCCATCATTTTAAAGGGTGGCTTTGAACTGTCCATCATTTTAAAGGGTTTCTCGGGACTGTCCATCATTTTAAAGGGTGCCTTGGGACTCCATAATTTTGAAAGGGTGCCTTGGGATTGTCCATCATTTTAAAAGGTGTCTCTGGACCGTCCATAATTTTAAAGGGTGCCTTGGGACTGTCCATAATTTTAAAGGGTGCCTCGGGACAGTCCATCATTTTAAAGGGTGTTTCGGGACCGTCCATCATTTTAAAGGGTGCCTTCGGACTGTCCATAATTTTAAAAGGTCGCCTTGGGACTGTCCATCATTTTAAAAGGTGTCTCTGGACCGTCCATCATTTTAAAGCGTGCCTCGGGACCACCCATCATTTTAAAGGGTGCCTCGGGACCGCCCATCATTTTAAAGGGTGCCTCGGGACTGTCCATCATTTTAAAGGGTGCCTCGGGACTGTCCATAATTTTAACGGGTGCCTTGCGACAGTCCATAATTTTAGAGGCTGCTCGGAACTGTCCATCATTTTAAAGGGTGCCTCGGGATCATTTTAAAGGGTCCTCGGGACTGTCCATCATTTTAAAGGGTGCCTCGGGACTGTCCATAATTTTAACGGGTGCCTTGCGACAGTCCATAATTTTAGAGGCTGCTCGGAACTGTCCATCTTTTAAAGGGTGTCTCGGGACTGTCCATCATTTTAAAGGGTTTCTCGGGACCGTCCATCATTTTAAAGGGTCCTCAGGACAGTCCATCATTTTAAAGGGTGACTCGGGACCGTCCATAATTTTAGAGGGTGACTCGGGACTGTCCATCAATTTTAAAGGGCGCCTGGGGTCCATCATGGGTGTCCAGGACCACCCATAATTTTAAATTTTAAAGAGTGCCTTGGGACTGTTGGTAATTTTAGAGGGTGGGGCTTGACTGAAAAAAGATTGAGAAACACAGCCCTAGAAAGTGCACCAAGGACCATTATTTTCCCCCAAATAAAATAGGCTAATCATAAAAAAAAGTAATAAAGAAGAAAACACAGTGCATGCAATATTTTATTATTTTTTAATCAGACATTTAGCATTTAGCTAAATGATATTTCACATCAAATGGCTTCCAGTTCATGGCTTAACAGGTTCCAGAAACTTTGCAAGACACTGAACTCAGCAAGCCCGTGGCCGCACCCTTGAGAGCACTTATGCCGAATTTCTTGATTGTGTCCAAAACACCTCTTTTTACTTCTTCATCTACAACGTCCTCTTCCTCTTCATCGGCACCTCTCCTGGAAGAAGACACAGTTATCGTTACATAAAACAACATTGATTACAACATAAAAAAACTGTATTTCCCTGGGAACAAAAATGGTTATTTTTTTGGACATTATAAAAATAATAATAATAATAATAACATAAAACAACGTGGATTTATAACATCAAAAACATATTTCACTGGGAACAAAAATTTGTATTTTTTTGGAAATAATAATACCATAAAACAACATTGATTATGACATAAAAAAACTGTATTTCACTGGGAACAAAAATGCGTATTTTTTTTGGACATTATAAAAATAATAATAATAACAATAACAACATAAAACTACATTGATTATAACATAAAAAAAAATATTTCACTGGAAACAAAAATGTGTATTTTTTAAAAAAATAATAATAATATAAAACAACATTGATTACAACATAAAAAAACTTATTTCACTGGGAACAAACATGAGTATTTTTTTGGACATTATAAAAATAATAATAATAATGATAATAATAATAATAATAATAACATAAAAATACATTGATTACAACATATAAAACTGTATTTCACTGGGAACAAAAATTTTGAATTTTTTGGACACAGTGGAGGAGATTTACTAAAACTGGGGAGTGCAAAATCTTAGATTGTAAGCTCCCAGGGCCAGGGCCCTCTTAACCTCTTTGCATTGAACTGTATCATTGCTGCATTGTCTTCCTTTATGTCGTAAAGCGCTGAGTAAACTGTTGGCGCTATATAAATCCTGTATTATTATAATAATAATAATAATAACATAAAACAACATTGATTATAATATAAAAACATTGTATTTCATTGGGAACAAAAATGTTGATTTTTTTTTTACATTATAATAATAATAACATAAAACAACATTGATTATATTTAAAAAAAACTGTATTTCACTGGGGAAAAAAAAGTGTATTTTTTGGACACAGTGGAGGAGATTTACTAAAACCGGAGAGTGAAAACTCTGGTGAAGCCAATCAGCTGCTAACTTCAGCTTGTTCAATTAGCCCCCTTACTCCTAAGGGTAAAATAAATCTTAATGCCCAAGGAAAATTTGACAACTTTGACATGCGTTAGTTAAACCGTACATCCCATCACAACTACTTTGTACATCCAGGTGGATTCTACCGCATTTGTTTTCAGGACAAATTGGGCTTTCGTTTAATGGTAAATGGTAATGGATATCTCCTGATTTTTTTCTTATTATCAAAGGAAAACCGGCCCAAAATAGTAAAAAAAAAAAAAAAAGTTTTTTTTTTTTAATTTAGCTGCATGTTTTTTGTTACTACCATAACTTACCACCAAAGCACAAACCAAAATAAATTCTCCATCTCCTGACAATCGCAGCGATACTATATATGTGTATGTTACTTGTTGTTTGTACCTGTAATAGAGCCCAAAACAATAGGGCGCATTGTGCTTCTTTTTTTTTTTTTGTCCTACCTAAAATACACTGAAACTGGCACCAACTGACACTGATACCAATGTAAAAAAATAAATAAATATATATATATATATATATATATATATATATATATATATATATGTGTATGTTATTTGTTGCTTGTACCCATAGTACAGCCCAGAAACAATAGGGCGCATTGGGCTTTTTTTTTTTTTTTTTTTTTTTTTTTCCTTTTGTCCTACTACCTAAAATACACTGAAATTGACACCAACTGACACTGATACCAATTTAAAAAAAAATAAATCTTTGACCCGGACCCTGACCCAAACACTAACCCTGGCACTGAAGTAGATCAAACCTCAATCTAGGTATTTTTCGTTCTTTTTTTTTTATATTTTTTTTTATTTATTTACACACAGCTTTTTGTTTTTTTTTTTTTTTCTCTCTGCAAGGAGAGAGAGAGAGATAATGTATCTCTCTTCTCCATTCAGAGAGAAAAAAAAAAAAAAAAAAAAACAATGGGTGGGTTTCACAGTGACTGATTGCTGTGATAGCCAATCAGAGGCTATCACAGCGATCATGTGACCCGGAATCGGGAGTTCCGGGTCCCGATTGTTAGAACGGGACCCGGGGCTCTCAGTGACACCGCGGTCTTTGTGCGTGTGGCGCGATCCCAGCACAAAGACAGGTACTGAGCTGGCTAAGCCAAGACCGGCAGGTCAGTAGTCCAACCACATGCTGGGAAGGTGTCACGGGTCATTTTTTATCCAACACTGTTCCCCTGTACTGTGTGACAGAGCTGTGCAAATTCCAGGACTCAATAAACAGACGTAAAAATTATTTGGTAGCTAAAACAACGCTCATACCCACATGAAAAATATATCTTCAATATATTTAGAAACAAAAAATTATACAAACGACATATATTTACAATATATTGTCCTACACGAATATATTTTAACAAGTATTCCAAAAATGTAAATTAAAATATATTTTCCAAAGGCATATATTTAAAAATATATTTTCTAGATATTTTTGAACATCTACATAAAATGCATTTAAACATAGATTTTTAAATATACTTAAAATATATTTTTTTTTCCATGTGGGTATATGCAGTTCACCGATATGTTTAGCTGTTTGACCAGAATTAAGTCTATACTTCCCACATGGAAGAAAAATATATTTTAAATATATTTTTTTTAAAAATACAATTCTTACTATATTCTTCCCAAATATATTGACGTTTCAAATACTACAATTTTGGCCATAGTCAATATATTAATAAAGTTAAAAAATATATTTCAATATATTTGTGAATATATTATTAAAAATATTTTCAGAACACATGCTACAATATATATCAAAGTGTAATTTGGAATGCATTTAAAAGTATATTTAAAAATCTATTTTAAATGCATTTTTTTAGATGTTCAAAAATATCTGGAAAATATATTTTGAAAAATATATTTTTAAATATATGCCTTTGGAAAATATATTTTAATTGACATTTTTGGAATACATGTTAAAATATATTCATGTAGGCTAATATATTGTAAATATATGTTGCATGTATACTTTTTTTTTCTAAATCTATTGAAAATATATTTCTCTTCCATATGGGAATATGCATTTCACCGATATGTTTAGCTGGTTTACCAGAATTAAGTCTATACTTGTATTTAAAAAAGTCTTCTACATACTTACTCTTCCTCACAGAGAGATAAGGTGATGGTCCCAAGAGAAAGAAAAAGAGCAACAGGGATTTCTTCAAGGTGAACATCTTTGGGCTCTGTGGTCCATTTGGATCCATGGAAAGAAAAAGAAGACAAAATGGAAAATATGACTCAAAAATAATACGAGATCCCGTAATGTTAGCCATACATAAAATGGTTGTTCCAACACAATAAAAGGTCCGAGCTCTAAACCAGTGGTCTCCAAACTGTGGCCTGGGGGCCAGATGTGGCCCTTTGCTTGCCTTTGCCTGGCCCTTGGGGCGCTATTCCATCAATTGACAACAGTGATGGTTCTATTATTTCCATTGATGCCAACAATGAGGCCTTCTTCTTCCCATTATAACCACCCACATGGAAGAAAAATATATTTTTTAAATATATTTTAAAAATACATTCTTAATATATTCTTCCCAAATATATTGACATATATTTCAGATACTACAATTTTGGCCATATTCAATATATTTCAATATATTTGTGAATATTGAACATCTAAAAAAATGCATTTAAAAACATAGATTTTTAAATATATTTGTAAATGCATTCCAAATTTCACTATGAAATATATTTTTAATAATATATTCACAAATATATTGGAAATATGGCCAAAATTGTAGTATTTGAAATATATGTCAATATGTTTGGGAAGAATATATTAAGAATGTAGTTTTTAAAATATATTTAAAATATATTTTTTCTTCCATGTGAGAATTTCCATCAAAATTGTAAAAAAGATTCCCATACAGAATACAAAAACTAAAACGTTACGTGATCCTCATCATAATGTCTCATAATATATGGTTTAATTCTAGGTTATGAGAAAGATGATAGGAGGAACTTTGCCAGCATTTGTAATAAAAATAAATTAGAGGAGTAATTTATACTTTACCGGAAAGCTGAAGACCGAGGATTATTTTCTTAAAAATAAAATATAATAGAATTAATAATATAATAAAGATATTCCAGCGTATACTTACCAGGGAGGTCAGCTGGTGCTGAGAATGTAGACAGATGGAAGACTTCAGTGGAAGGTCTACTCTACGAAGAACAGGGTTGGCTTATATAATAGAAGAAACAAGTTGAGTACACAGAAGGTTTAATTAAAAATTAATTTAGAAGTCACATCGTTCTCAGGAAAGCATAACTGATAACACATGAATTTCTGAAAATATTTACCTCGTAGCCTCCAGGTGGGACAAACATCAGCACCCAAGAAGCATTCCAAATATCTCCTGATCTGCTATTTAGACATGTTTAATTGTGAGAGTTCAAGTGTTTTTTTTACTTTTTTTTTCTATTAAATTGGAAATTGGTTTTATTACTCCATGAGAGTCTCTTTCTTCTATTCTTAACTCTGCGGACGACATTGGGGACAATTGAGGGGGAGAGTATTTGGAGATCCAGCAGGATCCCGGTGTTGATGTTTTTAGAGCGAAATGTCTCCATGTTTTGAAGGGGATCCCACACTTTTTTTGTGGTATGGGGTCCATAGGACTGTTGCTGTGGCCAATTGTTGATTTTTACTTTTACCAGTTGTTGTTTATTAATGGTTCTGGCCAATTTTTGTGGCCATTTATTATTTTTACTTTGGCCAATTGTTGTTTATTAATAGTTCTGCCCAATTGTTGTTTATTAATGGTTCCGGCCAATTGTTGTTTAATAATGGTTCTGGACAATTGTTGTTTATTAATAGTTCCGGCCAATTGTTGTTTATTAATGGTTCTGGCCAATTGTTGTTTATTAATAGTTCCGGCCAATTGCTGTTTCTATTTATTATTTTTTTTTACTTTGGCCAATTGTTGTTTATTAATGGTTCCGCCCAATTTTTTTTCCCTATTTATTATTTTTTACTCTGGACAATTGTTGTTTATTAATGGTTCTGGACAATTGTTGTTTATCAATGGTTCTGAACAATTGTTGTTTATTAACCACTTGAGCTCCTGAGGATTTACCCCCCTTAATGACCAGGCCTCTTTTTGCTACTCGGCGCTGCACTAATTCAACTGATACTGCATCCAAATGAAATTTACGTCCTTTTTTTCACACAAATAGAGCTTTCTTTCTGTGTAATTTGATCACCTGTGCGCTTATTTTTCACGCTATAAACAAAAAAAGGCCAAAAATTTTGAAGAAAAACAATATTTTTTTACTTTCAGCTATAAAAATATATAGTAAACTCAAAGTTGGTTATAAATTTAGGGCAAAATGTATTCTGCTACATGTTGTTGGAAAAAAAAAAACCCAATAAGTGTATATTGATTGCTTTGTGTGGAAGTTATAGCGTCTACAATCTATGGTATAAATACTGCAATTTACGCCATTTTTCTGCTATACAGCGCTGCGCTAGTTTAACGAACAATTTCGCGGTCATGCAATGCAGTACATAAATGACATTTACATCCTTTTTTTCCCACAAATTGAGCTTTCTTTCGGTGGTATTTGATCGCCTGTGCGGTTTTTATTTTTTGCGCTATAAAAAAAAAAGGCTGACGATTTTGAGGAAAAAAAAACAATATTTTGGACTTTTTGCTATAAAACATGTCCAGTAAAAAAAAATGCAAAAATCAAATTTAGTCATAAATTTCTGCCAAAATGCATTCTGCGACATGTCTTTGCTAAAAAAAATCCCAATACGTGTAAATTAATTGGTTTACGTGAAAGTTATAGCGTTTACAAATGGCGGGAAAGATACTGGGATTTTTAATTTTTATTTATACTAATAATGGCGCCGATCAGCGACATATGGCGGCAATCAGCGACATATGACAGCGACCAACGACTTATGGCGGGACTGCGGGACATTTTGACACTGGGGGGGAACTGACATGGGGTCACTGACATCCTCAGTGACACCAATACAGTGATCAGTGAAAAAAAAAACACTGAAACTGTACTAATGTCACTGGGGAGGAAGGGGTTAACATTTTTAGAATTTGCTGTGTAAGGGGAGTGTTTTACTAGGGGGCGGGGGTGTGTACTGGATGGGGGGAGGGAGGGGGGAGCTGATCAGGGAGAGAAACTCTTCTCTCCCTCTGCAGCTTGTCGGCGAACTGTCACAGAGCAGGGCTTTGTGTAAACAATGCAGCCCTGCTCTGTCAGTGATCACCGCTCATCGCGGGAAAACGGCCGGTAAAAACCGGCCGTGACCCAGCGGCGGAGACCTGCTGCTGACACCCGCGGGACAGGTAGGGCGGGCGCCTGTTTTGAAGGCAGTCGTTTTAAAACGTGCTTTTGCCTACGAACGCCACCCTGCCGCCGTTTATATGCGGTGGCTGGGCGGCAAGTGGTTAATGGTTCCTGACAATTGTTGTTTATTAATGGTTCTGGACAATTGTTGTTTATTAATAATAAAAAAAATGCATACAAGGGAGAGGTGCAGCGCTAGCTGAATAAATATACACTTATATACTTGATAAATATACACTAATATAAATCAATAAAAAATCCATACAATGGATAGGTAATAAATGGCCGCCGGGGCCCTCGTGGCGCCGGTCGGCGTGTTACGTCACACCGCTTGTAGCCGCTCCCTTTACCTATCCATTGTATGGTCAGTATCTTTCCTGCCTCTGCCTGTATATTGTGTGTTTTTGGGAATAAATACCCCTTGCCTATAAGGTATCACACTATCTGGCCTCCTTTGTTCTTTGGGCTCTGGTGGGAGTCCTTTACATCTGCAGAGCGGCCTTTTTTTTCTATACCTTTATCACCTCATCCACGAATCCAGTGATTGGAGCTCTTTAAGGACTCTCTTGGATCTTGAGCACGCTATGGACTATACTCATCATTTAGTCACCGTTTTGCACTCTATTAGCACTTTTATTGATTTATATTAGTGTATATTTATCAAGTATATAAGTGTATATTTATTCAGCTAGCGCTGCACCTCTCCCTTGTATGCATTTTTGATTATTGAGAAGGTTCATATGGTACCTTTTTGGTGTTCAGCTGCTATTTTTCTTATCTCATTTTATTTATTAATTGATTTTATATTAGCTGTTTTAAGCGCTCACTTATTTTGAGATTTACTGTTGTTTATTAATAGTTCCGGCAAATTCTTGTTTATTAATGGTTCCAGCCAATTGTTGTTTATTAATGGTTTCGGCCAATTGTTGATTCCATTTATTATTTTTTACTTTGGTCAATTGTTGTTTATTAATTGTTCTGGCCAATTTCACTGGCCATTTATTATTTTTTACTTTGGCCGATGGTTGTTTATTAATGGTTCCGGCCAAATGTTCTTTATTAATGGTTCCGGCAAATTGCTGTTTCTATTTATTATTTTTTACTTTGGCCAATTGTTGTTTATTAATGGTTCTGCCCAAGTTTTTTGCCCATTTATTATTTTTTACTCTGGCCAATTGTAGTTTATTAATGGTTTCCGCCCAACTGTTGTTTATTAATGGTTCCGGACAATTGTTGTTTATTATTGGTTCTGAACAATTGTTGTTTATTAATGGTTCCGGCTAATTGCTGTTTATTAATGGTTCTGGACAATTGTTGTTTATTAATAGTTCCGGCCAATTGTTGTTTATTAATGGTTCCTGCCAATTGTTGTTTATTAATGGTTCCGGCCAATTGTTGCTTCCATTTATTATTTTTTACTTTTGCCAAATGTTGTTTATTAATGGTTCTGGCCAATTTCTCTGGCCATTTATTATTTTTTACTTTGGCCGATTGTTGTTTATTAATGGTTCCGGACAATTTTTCTTTATTAATGGTTCCGGCCAATTGCTGTTTCTATTTATTATTTTTTACTTTGTCCAATTGTTGTTTATTAATGCTTCCCCCAAATTTTTGTGGTCATTTATTATTTTTTACTTTGGCCAATTGTTGTTAATTAATGGTTCCGCCCAACTACTGTTTATTAATGGTTCTGGACAAATGTTGTTTATTAATGGTTCTGGACAATTGTTGTTTTATTAATAGTTCCGGCCAATTTTTGTTTATTAATAGTTCTGAACAATTGTTGTTCATTAATGGTTCTGGACAATTGTTGTTTATTAATAGTTCCCGCCAATTATTGTTTATTAATGGTTCTGGCTAGAGATGAGCGAAGTATTCAAAAATTCGATTCGGCGAATTCGAGGAATAAATTCGATTCGAGGCGAATATATTCGCTGTGAATTTAACTTATAAAAAGGGTGTTTCTAGGCTTCAGAGAGCCTTTATATTAGTGCAGAACACTGTACCTTTAATTTAAATGCCCTTGGAGTCTGCTGGGGAAGAGAAATAATACTGTCAGACAGTATGACATGCAGATGAGTGCCGTCGATCTTAGAATCACCGCACACTTCACTCATTTGGGCAGTCGCGGGGCCAAAACCAGAGTGTGGAGCCACAGTGTGGCGGTGGAGGCAGCAGCAATGGGAGGCCATACAGCACCCTATGACAAAATGGAACCCACCAGCAGTGTGAGGAGACCTGAAAGTGGCACATGGCACAGTGTGGCAATGGAGACAGCAGCAATGGGAGGCCGTAAAGGGACCCATGAGACACTCTGGACCTGGCAGCAGCATGAGGAGGTGGTACAGGGGCCCATGACAGATTACGGGCCTGGCAGCAGCATGAGGAGTCGGTACGGGGGCCCATGGCAGATTACGGGCCTGGCAGCAGCAATGGGAGGCCCGTAATCTGCCAGCACCCTATGACAAAATGGAACCCACCAGCAGTGTGAGGAGACCTGAAAGTGGCACATGGCAGAGTGTGGCGATGGAGACAGCAGCAATGGGAGGCCGTACAGGGACCCATGAGACACTCTGGACCTGGCAGCAGCATGAGGAGGCGGTACAGGGGCCCATGACAGATTACGGGCCTGGCAGCAGCATGAGGAGTCGGTACGGGGGCCCATGGCAGATTACGGGCCTGGCAGCAGCAATGGGAGGCCCGTAATCTGCCAGCACCCTATGACAAAATGGAACCCACCAGCAGTGTGAGGAGACCTGAAAGTGGCACATGGCAGAGTGTGGCGATGGAGACAGCAGCAATGGGAGGCCGTACAGGGACCCATGAGACACTCTGGACCTGGCAGCAGCATGAGGAGGCGGTACGGGGGCCCATGGCAGATTACGGGCCTGGCAGCAGCAATGGGAGGCCCGTAATCTGCCAGCACCCTATGACAAAATGGAACCCACCAGCAGTATGAGGAGACCTGAAAGTGGCACATGGCAGAGTGTGGTGATGGAGACAGCAGCAATGGGAGGCCGTATAGGGACCCATGAGACACTCTGGACCTGGCAGCAGCATGAGGAGGCGGTACGGGGGCCCATGGCAGATTACGGGCCTGGCAGCAGCAATGGGAGGCCCATAATCTGCCAGCACCCTATGACAAAATGGAACCCACCAGCAGTGTGAGGAGACCTGAAAGTGGCACATGGCAGAGTGTGGCGATGGAGACAGCAGCAATGGGAGGGACGTACAGGGCCCCCTATGAAAAAAAATGGAAACCCAGCAGTGTGAGGGACCTGGTGGACATGGCGGTGTGGCGATGGAGACAGCAGCAATGGGAGGCCTACGGGACCCTGAGAAACTCTGGAGGGCCCAAAGCGGGCCATGAGGAGGGGGTTTACAGGGGCCCCATGACAGTTACGGGCCTGGAGCAGCATGAGGAGTCGGTACGGGGGCCAATGGCAATTCGGGCCTGGCGCACAATGGGGGGCCCCGAAATCTGCCGCACCCTATGCAAAATGGAACCCCCGGGGGTGTGAGGAGCCCTGAAAGGGAATGGCAGAGTGTGGCGATGGAGGACAGCGAATGGGGGCCGTACAGGGACCCATGAGCCCTCTGGACCTGGCAGCAGCATGAGGAGGCGGTAGGGGGCCCATGCAGATTACGGGCCGGGGAGCAGCAATGGGAGGCCGTAATCTGCCAGCCCCCATGAAAAAGGAACCCACCGCAGTGTGAGGAGCTGAAAGTGGCACATG